TGAATTTGGACTTTTAGCCTACTTTGACTATGAGGAAATAAACTTCTCTTCATTAAAAAATAATAATAATAATAAGATATTTCTTTAAAAGATCTGTCATCCACCTCCACTCTCAGTCAGCCGCTGGGTGAGTTTGAACCACCAACCTTTGGGCTAGCAGCCGACTGCAAACCACTTGCATCACACAAGCTCCTTGGTAATGAGAGTCTGTCTGTTGTGTGCCGTTGAGTTGATTCTGACTCATGGCAACCCTACAGGACAGAAGAGAACTGCCCATAGGGTTTCCAGAGCTATAATCTTTATGGCAGCAGACTGCCACATCTTTCTCCCAAGTAGCGGCTGGTGGGTTCGAACTGGTGTCCTTCCGGTTAGCATCTGAGGGCTTAACTGTTCGTGTGACCCAGGGACTCCTGGGCAATATTAATACTGGTTAAATCTGGGGGAGGAGGGGGAATCTGGGTGGCAAGTATATGAATCTTCAATCTACTTTTCTCTCATTGTACTTGTCTGTATGCTTGAAAACTTTTACATTGAAAAGTAAAAGAAGAAACCTAAAAAAAACAGAAGTGTTGTGTGAATGAATACAGGAAGGAGGGAGGGTCTGAGGGTTCCTGTAGTTAGGGGCTGGGCATAAGGCGGGGAAGGAAGGGGTCCAAAGGAAGGAGGGGAGTGCAGGAGGGATTAGGACACGGGAGGGAAGGGACTTCTCAGGTGGATCCCCAGAGGCAGAGAGTTTCTAACTGGGAGGAGAAACAAGGAAGAGGCAGGTGTGAGGGAATTTAGGGGTGAGAAGCTGAGCTTCCCTTGGAAGGCAAGAGGTGGGGTGGGGGGTGTCTCTCACCTCCACAAAGTTGGTGTGCTTGGCATCGCGGACAGTGACCACGGCATGCACCTCCTCAATCAACTTCTGTTTCTCGTCGTCATCAAACTGCATGTACCACTTGGCCAGACGGGTCTTGCCCGCCCGGTTCTGGATTAGGATGAAGCGGATCTGTGGGCAGCAGGAGGAGGAAGTGAGACAGGCCAGCGCGTGCGGGAAGGCTGGGAGGGAGGGAAGGAGGGTGAGCCAGGGCTGGGCGGTGCCCACTGCTCCACCCACCCGTGCAGGGGCGATAGGGCCCAAGCCTCCCAGCCGCCAGCCCTCCAGAGCTCTCAGCGCTCCCCAGAGCCCAGCCAGGCCGCCGTGGCCTCACGCCCCTGTCCCAGGTACCCCCAACACCCCAGTGGAGTGAGTTCCCTTCCAGGAGACTCTGATGTCCCCCCTGGGCCCTGAGTCCCAGGCTCCACCCCACCCCCCTTCTCTGCAGTGACCTCGGACAAGAGATCTGCCTCTCTAAGCCTCAGTTTCCTCACCTGCAATACAAGTTTGCTAAGAAGACCTATCTTGTCAGGTTGTTTTGAAGGTGAATCAAGTTTATAAACTTAGTTCAGTCCCTGGTACACAGCAGGCACTCAATAAATGCTTGTTTTCTGACTTCTTTGGTTTGAGTTCCAGCGCTACCTTTTTTTTTTTCTTTCTTTTCTCTAGTAATTTATTTTACTGAGATATAATTCACATACCCTAAAATTCACCCATTTAAAGTATATACGAGTCAATGGTTTTTAATATATACTCACGCAGTTGTGCAAAGATCACCACTAATTCTAGAACATTAGGATCAGGGTGCTCATTTGGCGTGAGTACTCATCACCCCAAAAAGAAACCTCATACCTATCTGCAGTCACTCCCCATTCTCTCTCCCTCCAGCTCTTGGCAACCACAAATCTGCTTTCTGTTTCTATGGATTTGCCTATGTGGGACATTTCCTATCAAAGGAATCCCACGTGGCCTTCTGTGTCTGGCTTCTTTTATTTTACATGATGTTTTCTAGATTCATCAATGTTGTAACATATATTATACTTCATTTCTTTTTATTGTGGAATATTCCACGGTATGGATATACTACATCATTTACCCATTCATCAGTTGATGGGCATTTGGGTTGTTTCCACCTTTTGACTATTGTGAATAGTGCTGCTATGAACACTCACGTATAAGTTTGCATTTCTCTTGGGTATATATCTAGGAGGGGAGAAAAGACCTGGTGACCTGCTCCATAAGGCTTACCGCCTAGGAAACCCGAGGGGGGCAGTTCTACTCTGTGGTAGAGGGTTGCCGAGTTGGAAGCCATGCGACGGCACACAACAACAACACGCTAACTCTGCATTTAACTTCTTCAGAAACTGACAAACTGTTTTCCAAAGCGGCTGCTACTTTTTAAGGAACTGAAGGAGCCCTGGTAGCACAGTGGTTAAGTGCTGGGCTAACCAAAATATATGCGAGAAAGATGTGGCAGTCTGCTTCTGTGAAGATTACAATTTTGGAAACCTAATGGGGCAGTTCTACTCTGTGCTATAGGGTTGCTATGAGTCAGAATCAACTTGATGGTAACGGTCAGTGTCTCAGTTTATTCACCTGTAAATAGGGATAATAATAGTACTATCCTCTTAAGGGTTTAATGAGGAACAAACGATATATGAGAAGTACTCTAACGAGTGCCTGGCTGAGTAAGTGTCCTGTGTCAGCTATGATAATCAGCATCAGGTATGACTAGAAAATGTATTATGGTTCTGAAAAGCCAGGTCAGCCTTCATAGGGCTGCTGTGAAAATTCAAAGAGTTAATGCCAGATGTGCTTAGCATAATGCCTACTACATAGTGAGCACTCAATACAGTTAGCTATTATGACTGAGAGTAATCTGGCCAAGTGGCTAAGAGCCCAGACTTTGGAGCCAGAATGAATCCTGGCACTTCTCACTACTGGCTGTGCGTCCACAGGCAAATCACTTAACCTCTCTGAGTCTCAGTTTCTTTCCCCTTCTGTATAATGGACAAAATGAGAATACCTCCCTCATAGGACTGCTGCTCGGGTTAATAAACACAAGAGGTATACTACAGTGAGTAGCACATATTGAGTGTCATACACTCAGTATATAACATGTAAGTATTAGCTCTTTTTAGCACTGTAATTCATCATTATTTGACTTTGAGAAAACCATAGCCCAAGCTCACCCACTAGGAAGCCTGCCTTTGGGCCCAGTTCTGTCTGACACAGGCATACTTATATCCATTTTATGGATGAGAAAACCAGGGCTCAGGAAAATGGAAGTCTCACAGCCATAAACCAGAGCTGGGAGTCCAAAGGCTTTGCTCTGAACCCCCTTACCCTGACTTGTGGGGGCCTCCACCCTTTAAATGGAGTCCACTCTCTTTCCTAAGGCATTATTCACCACACACTCCATTCCCTCCTCCCCTAACCAACCAAGCTGGACGGGAACAGGATATTACACTCTCCTTCCAAGAACCCTTCTGCTGAGCCAAGGAAAACCACTTCCTGGCAGGGCAGGGGTCCTCAGCAGGAAGGGAAGGGGTGCAAGGGGAGGGCACGCAGGCAGCCATAGCCTGGGGGCAAAGCTGGAGATATACAGGGCATATGGGAAGGGGAGCTAGAAAGAGGCCTACAAAGCTGAGGGGGAAGGAGCTCAGCCACTTACCCTCAAATTCCCTCATATACCTCTTCCCTGTTTCTCCTCCCAATTAGAATTTTTCCACCTCTGGGGATCTACCCTGAGAAGTCCCCTCCCTCCTACACCCTCACCCCTCTGGGTACCCCCCTGTGGATGCCCCCAACCCTCCCAGTCTCCAAGACCCACTCCCCTGGAGATACTCTCTTCGACCTCCACTCTCTTGGTTTCAATCCCTTCCCTCAGGCATCAATGGGCCCTTTTTCAAGACATACCTTCTCGGACTCAAACGCCTCCTCTCCTTTTCTAAAGGCCACATCTTGCCTCCTAGAACCCTGTTGTTCTGACACCTTCCTCCATTTATCCATCTCCTTCTCAATTCGCTGCTCAAAGAATGCTTTCTTCTGTTCCAAAGTCCCATCCTGCCGGGAGGGGTGCTGCCGCCTCCCCAAATCCAGCGACTAGTCCCTCCCCCAAGAACCCCCTCCCATCTCCTGCACCTCCTCTAACCTCCAAAGCCTTCTCCCTATCCCCAGAGAACACTCCTCTCGGAAAAACCTGCTCCAATTCTCCCCACTTCTTTCTGGTATCCACTCCTATTTCCAAGCCCTCTCTTCGTCCGCAGCCCATGTTCCCTGACTCCAAAGCCCCATTCATTCCCTACAGATGCCTTCTTCAGATCTCCAGTGCCCAGTCTCTTCCCCCTGAGATTATTTTCCTCTCTCCTGCAGTATCCCGTCCCTGTTTTAACACCTCCTCTCCGCCAGCGATGCCAGCTCCCTACCTCTGGAGACCCCTCCCATCAGGAAGATCTCCTCTCCCCAGTTCCAAAGTCTCTCATTTGCCTCCAACGTTCCCGCCTCACCCTAAGGAAGTCCTCCTATTGGAACGCCCCCTCCCCACCTCCAATGCCCTACCCCTGAGACCCTGGCCCGCCAGTCTTCGCCTCGCCTGTTTCAAGAACCCCAACCATCTCCAATATCCCCCACCCGCACAGCCCTCTCCCCGTGACACTCTCCTCCAGTCTCCCATGTCCCTTCGCCTCGGGAACCCCGGGCACCCCTGCGCGCGGGAGTCACGGCCCTGTTCCCCCTTCCCTTCCCGGTCCTTGATCGCCTCCAACACAGCGAGCCCGCGCTCGGCCCAGACCATCGCGCCGCGGCAGGGGGGTTGTCATCGCCCAACAGAGCTCAGGTGTCTGCACGCGGACCTCCCTCCACCCGTCCCAGGCGTGGGCGCGCCCCTGTTACCATGGCGACCCCCGTCCGGACCCCAGCGTCCCCGGTCCCCTGGTGACTGGGCGGCTCGGCCTCTGGCTGCAGTTGCGGGGCTCAGGGCTAGAGCGGACTTCCGGGAAGGGGACCGGCCGGCCTTCTCACGCACGACCCTTTGGGAGTTGTAGTCCCGCGAATCGGCCTGCACGACCGAGCGGCAAGCCAGCGAAAAGAGCCGGGCCTTCTTCCCGGCATGCTGAGGGACTGCTCTGTTCCTACCACACGATTCAGACCCCAAGTGCATGCTGGGAGTTGTGGATGAACATCTCTTCAGAGGACTACAATTCCCTACGTGCTTGACAGAGCGCTAAGCCCCCTTGCATTCTGGGAAATGTAGTACATGCCCCCCCCCAACCCCGAGACAAGGGCGTGCTGGAAATAATCGTTTTAAGTGAGAAACTACGTTAGAGAGCTAGAAGTGTAACTGTCTTTTCGTGCTCACCCAGTGCTTTGGTTAAATTATGTTGAGGGTTTGCCTGTGAGAGACGGACAGTGGTTTAAGAACAGGAATTTGGGAGTGGAACTGTGTGCAAATCCTCCGTTGCACTTCCTAGCTGTCTGAATTTGGGGCCAGGGATTTCACCTCTTAAGTCTCAATTTCTTCATCTCTAAAAGAGGGCCGTCATCATAGTAGTTACCCCTTAGTAAATACTACCACCACCTATCTGTCTGTTGTGTTATAGTGGCTTGCTTGTTGCTATGATGTCGGAAGCTATACCACTGATATTTCAAATACCAGCAGGGTCCTCTATGGTGGACAGGTTTCAGCGGAGCTCCCAGACTAAGACAGACTAGGAAGAAACGTCTAGCGATCTACTTCCAAAAATTAGCCAGTGGAAACCCTGTGGATCCTAAGAGAACGTTGTCCGATATAGTGCTGGAGAACACCACAGGTTGGAAGGCGCACAATAGCTGCAACAATAAACTAAAAGATCGCGAGGATTGGTGCAGGGCCAGACAGCATTTTGTTCTGTTGTGCATGAGGTTGGCATGAGCTGGATCCAAGTCGATGGCAACTAACAGCAACAACAATTACAACCAACTCCTTGGGCAGCTGATTTTAAAGCTTTTAAGCTTTAAAAGTACTTAGCACTGTGCCTGACACACACTAAATGCTCCAAAATATTAGTTAACATTACGAATATTCATTGTTAACATATGTCAGGTGATAACAGTCTTCTCATTCACTTCCTACTCAAGGGTACACTTGTCTTCTTTCAGTTACTCAAATACACCAAGTGTTTTCTCAGAGCCTTTCCCCTTCTTGTTCCCTGGAAGACCTTCCCCCATTCTTTCTATGGCTAGCCTTTTCCTTTAGCTTAAACACCACCATACAGGATCATACATGTAAAGGTCCCCTACCTCCTGCTTCTATAGTTCTCTAGGTCAGCAGTTAGTTTGATTTCTTGATAGCCTTTATTACAACTTTAATGATTTTATTTGTCTGTTTTGTGTGTGTGTGTGTGCATGTGTATTGTCTAGATTTCCCACTAGGAGTTTGCTGGGGGCTGGGACCCTGTATGTTAACTGTCTTAATCACCTAAAACACAGTGGCACCTAGAAAGTACTCAATAAAGGAATTACTATTGATAATGAGCATTATTGTTATTAGCTGCCATCATGTAGGTTCCTCAACCCATGGCAACTCTATGTGTTACAGAGTAGAATTGCACCATGTCGGGTTTTCTTGGCTGTAATATTTATAGAAGCAGCTCACCAGGCCTTTCTTCCGCAGAGCTGCTGGGTGAGTTTGAAACGCAACTTTGGGGCTAGCAGCTGATTGCAAACCGCTTGCACCACCCAGGCTACTTGGTACTGAGAGTCTGTCTGTTGTGTGCTGTCGAGCCAATTCCGACTCATAGCGACCCTACAGGACAGAGTAGAACTTCCCCATAGGGTTTCCTAGGCTTTAATCTTCATGGAAGCAGATTGCCAGGTCTTTTCTTTCACAGAGTGGCTGGTTGGTTCGAACCACTAACCTTTCAGTTAGCAGCCGAGCGTTTAACCATTGTGCCACCAGGGCTTCTTGGTAATGAGAGTAGATTTGCCCTAATAACAACAAAGCAGATAGAAATTGAAAGTGTGATATTGGCAGAAGAACCAACACATTGCTATTGAATATTTTAAGGGCAAGAAGAGGTCAGAGATCATTTCTGTCTTGTGCACTGCTCTATCCCCAACCGGATTGGGACTAGGGTAAGGCAAGCAGGGTGCAAAATGTAAAAAGGCACCCGCTCTTAGGTACTGACTCAGCCCTTGCACAAGTCTGAGAGTGAGTGTCTCCTTAAATGGTATGCTCTGGGCACCTTGGGGGCCCTGGTGGCTCCGTGGTTAAAGAGCTTAGCTGCTAACCAAAAGGTCGGCAGTTGGAATCCACCAGCTGCTCCTTGGAAACCCTATGAGGCAGTTCTACTCTGTCCTATGGGGTTGCTATGAGTCGGAATTGACTTGACAGCAATGGGTTGGGCACCTTGCTTACCTCACCTTAACCCCAGCCCTGATCTCCAGTGCTCAGCTTAGCGCTTGGCATCAATCTGGTGTTTAATAAACATTTACTGAATGAGTGAATGAATGAACAGGTATCAAGAAATCAGACACTGTCCCTGCCCTGACAGCATTCACAGTCTGTTGTTGTTGGTGGGCCCTGTCGAGTCAATTTTGACTCATAGGGACCCCACGTGACAAAGTAGAACTTCCCCATTGGGTTTTCTTGGCTGTAATCTTTACAAGAACAGATTGCCAGGTCTTTCTCCTGCAGAGCTGTTGGGTGGGTCTGAACTGCCAACTTTTCAGTTAGAGTAGAGCACTTAGCCGTTGAGACACCAGGGCTCCTATTCATGGGCTAGCATGGGAAATTGACTTAAATGACATTACACAAACAAATTAAAAAATTAGCATAATCAGTCCATGATGAAAAAGCACAGAGTGCTTTGAATACTGAATTGGTTACCAATTGTGTAACAAATCACCCCAAAACATAGCAGCTTAAAACAACAGCAAGCAATTATTATCTCAGGTAGTTTCTGTGAGTCAGGAATTTAGGCGCAGCTTAGCAGGGCAGTTCAGGCTTAGGTCTCTCATGAGGTTGCAGCCAAGACGTCAGCCAGAGGAAACTAGATCACTGGAATCGGAACAACTAGAACGCAATTAAACAGAATGATGACACATTGTGAAAAATGTAACTAATGTCATTGAACAATTTGTGTACAAATTGTCAAATAGGAACCTAAATTTGCTGTGTAAACCTTCACCAAAAACACAATAAAATACTATTTTAAAAAAAAGATGTAAGCCAGGTCTGCAGTCATCTGAAGGTTTGACTGGGGCCGGACGATCTGAGGACCAGGTGACTCATTCCTATGTTTAGTGCCCCAGCTGTTGGTGAGGGGCCTCAGTTCTTTACCTCTCATGTGGCAGCTGTTTTCCCCCAGAGTGAGGGATCCAAGGAAGGGCGAGCTGAAAACTGCAATATCTTTTATGACCTTGCTTCAGACATCACACTCTATTCTTTCTGAAACATCCTACTGGTACACAGGTCAACTCTATCCAATGTGGGTTGTTGTTAGCTGCCATTGAGTTGATTCCAACTCGTGGCGACCCCACATGTGCAGAGTAGAACTGCTCCATAGGGTTTTCAGGCTGTGAGCTTATGGCAGCAGATCTCCAGGCCTGTCTTCTGAGGTGACTCTGGGTGGGTTCCAACTGCCAACCCTTCAGTCAGTAGTAGGGCACTTAACCATTTACGTATGACATCCAGGGGGACATGAATACCAGGAATGAGAATCACTGGGGGCCATCTTGGAGGTTGGCTAACACAATTGCTTACAGCAAGGGAACCTGGCCTAGCTGAAGAGTTAAGGACAGCATCCCAAAGGAAGTGACATTTGAGCTAAGATCAGAAGGATGAGTAGAAGTTAACCAAGCAAAGATTAGTGTCAGGGGAGGAGGCACAGGAATAGGCGTGGGGAGAAGATCAATCCAACATTGTCTGTGCTCTCAGGATTCTCATGGTTTGGGTGGTTTGGAGGCTGAGGTTAGACGCCACAGACATAGACAGAAAGGACCAGTCCCAGCACTTCCACTTTAGTGTGGTCCCTGAAAAAAATTCTCCTTTGCAATGCCCATAACGTCATGCTTGTCATAGGGAAAAATTAGAAACGGGTGAAATACACACCCATAGGGCAAAAGTCAGTGAATCCATGGTGCACTCATGTAACAAAATATTATGCAGCAGTTAATATGAGGTCTCAGGGCGGGGCAAATGGTTTGCACTTGGGTAGTAACCTAAAGCTTGGCTGTTCAAACCCACCAAGCAGCGCAATGGAAGAAAGGTCTGGTGATCTGCTTCCATAAAATGACAGCCAAGAAAACTCTAGAGCAGTTCTACTCTGTAACACATGGGGTCACCATGAAGAGAATTGATTCGAAGGCAAGGATTTGGGCTTTTTGGTTTATACCAGTGGTTATAATCCCATTTGGAAATGAGTTTTCTTTGCTACGTTTATGAGACACTAGATAACTAAGACACCCTCCAACTTTTTATTAAAAAAAAATTCATACCTACCAAAAAGTTGCAATATCAGTACAAACCCAGTTGCTGTCGAGTTGATTCCAGCTTATAGTGACTCTATAGGATAGGGTGGAACTGCCCCATAGAGTTTCCAAGCAGCAGCTGTTGGATTTGAACTGCTGACCTTTTGGTTAGCAGCTGTAGCACTTAACCACTGTGCCACCAGGCCTCCATATTAGTACAATGAACTCCAATATATGGTTCATCTTGTGTCTTAGTTATCTAGTGCTGCTATAACAGAAATACCACAAGTGGATGGTTTTAACAAACAGAAAGTTATTTTCTCATAGTTTAGGAGGCTAGAAGTCCAAGTTCAGGGCACCAGCTCTAGGAGAAGGCTCTCTCTATTTGTTGCCTCTGGGGGAAGGTCCTTGTCTCTTTTCAGCTTCCACTTCTTGGTTCTTTAGAGATTTCTATGTGTCTTGGCATCTATCTTACTCCGCCTCTGCTTCTTAGCTTGCTTGTTTCATCTCTTTTATATCTCAAAAGAGATTGACACAAGACACATTCTACACTAATCCTGCCTCATTAACATTACAAAGACAGCCCATTCCCAAATGGGATTATAACCATAGGCATAGAGGTTAGGATTTACAACACATATTTTGGGAGGGGACGCGGTTCAATCCATAACAGCTAGATTCACCAGTTGTTGACACTTTATTCTTTCTCATCTTGAACCGTTTTTGAGTTAGTTGCAGACATTGTGACAGTTCACTCCAAAAGGCTTCATGCTTCAACATGTTCCTCTGAAGGACAAGGTCATTCTCCTCCATAACCACAATGCAATTATCACCCTCAGGAAACTTGACATTAATACCATACTATTATCTAATAGGAGTCCCTGGGTGATTGAAACAGTTAACACGCTGGACTGCTAACCAAAAGGTTGGAGGTTTGAGTCTGCCCAGAGGCACCTTGAAAGAAAGCCATAGTGATCTGCTTCCAAAAAATCAGCCATTGAAAATCCTATGGAGAACAGTTCTACTGATACATGTAGGATCACCATGAGTTCGAATTGACTCGACGGCAACTATTTTTTTTTTAATTAGCTAATATGCAATCCAGATTAAAATATCCCTGATTACTCCAGCAATATCCCTTCTAGATTTTTTTTTCTGCTCCAGAATCCAATCCAGGATCACAGGTTGCGTTTGGTTGCCATGTCCCTTTAACAAGGAGGAACGCTGGTGGCACAGTGGTTAAATGTTTGGCTGCTCATCGATAGGTAGGCGGTTTGAACCCACTAGCTGCTCTGTGGGAGAAAGATGCAGCAGTCTGCTTCCATAAAGATTTACAGACTTGGAAACCCTATGGGGCAGTTCTACTCTGTCCAAAAGGTTGCTATGAGTCAGAATTGATTAGATAGCAGTAGGTTTTGGTGTCTTTAACTGCTGCCGGAGAGTTGATTCTGACTCAAAGCAATACTTTGGACAGAGTAGAGCTGCCCCATAGTGCTTCCAAGGCTGTAATCTTTACGGGAGCAGACTGCCACATCTTTCTCCCACGGAGCAGATGTTGGGTTCGAACCTCTGATCTTTTGGTTAGCAGCCGAGCACTTAACCCCTGCGTCATATCCCTTTAGTCTCCTTTAATCTGGAACACCCCTACCCCGTCCCTTTTCAGTACTGGCATTTTGAAAGGCTACATCAGTTGTTTTGCGGAGCATCCCTCAGTTTGGGTTTGTCTGATGTTTCCTCGTGACTAGCTGCACGTTAACATTTTTGGTGGGAATATCACAGAGGCTGTGTCCTTCGCAGAGTATCCCCGCAGGGGCATGTGGTGTTAGTTTGTTCCATCCTTGGTGATGTTAAGTTCGATCACTTGGTTAACATTAGTTAATAGTATAGTATTAATGTCTGCCACATGTCTCCTTTGACAGGTTATATGGTTTATGTTTAAAACAACCACAATTGGGATATTTGGGGGGAGGAGGGTTCCTGTCAACAACCACAACAAAAATCTTCATTGAAGAAATTCAATTTTTTTTTAAACATTATTTGATTGTGTTTCCGGTGAAAGTTTACACAGAAAATTAGGTTCCCATTTGACAATGTCTACACAAATTGTTCGGTGATGTTAGTTACATTTTTCACAATGTGTCAACATTCTCTTTAATTGCTTTCTGGTGTATCTGTTTCCAGTGCTCTAGTTTCCCTACCCCCTTCTCTTCTCATCTTTGCTTTAGAGTAATTGTTGGCCTTTTGGTCTCATATGGATGGTTTTTTAATGGAGCACAGTTATTTCGCTAAAAAGTGACCTCAAGGATAGTCTTGGTTCAAGGTTTATGGAGTATCTCAGGGAGTCCTCTAGGCTCAATTGGTCTGGTAAGTCTGGACTTTTTTTTTTTTTTTTTTTTGGCTTTAACAAAGAGAAATTTATTTATTCACAGTACAGTAGGCTAAAAGTCCAAATTCACAGCCCCAGCCCCAGGGGAAGGCCCTCTCTCTCTGTTAGCTCTGGAGGAAGGTCCCTGTCATCAGTCCTCCCCCGTGCTGGGAGTATCTCAGCACAGGAATCTCAGGTCCAAAGAACGCGAGCTCTGCTCCCGGCACTGCTCTCTTGGTGGTATGAGGTCCCCCCACTCTCTGCTTGCTTCCCGTTCCTTTTATCTCTTGCAAGATAAAAGGTGGTGCAGGCCACATCCCAGGGAAACTCCCTTTACATTGGATCAGAGATGTGACATCAGTAAGGATGTTACAATCCCACCCTAATCCTCTTTAACATAAAATTACAATCACAAAATAGAGGACAACCACACAACACTGGGAATCATGGCCCAGCCAAACTGATACACACACTTTTTGGGGGATAGAATTCAATCCATGACACAGATCATCCTCCCCTCACCCACCCCCATTCTCCCCTCACCATTCCCCTCATCGCTCTGGAAATTGACTTTCCATTGAGATATCTTTCTGTTCTATCTCACATTGCTGAATTCACTGAGAGGTTTGTAGTCAGATTCCCCTCCCCATGTTAATCATGATGGTGGGTGGGGGGAGAGAAACATGTTTTGACAGACCAGAAAATGCTCCAGCACCATCAGTTGCTGACTCACCTCACTGGCAGTGGCATTGAGTTCCCTCTTCAGATCTGACTGTCCCCAGTTCTGCCCATTGAGGACTGGGGAGGCTTCTCCAGTCCCATAACAGTTGGTGCCGGCATCCTCTGTATGCAGCCCTGAGAGATTCCCCTAGGGGTGGTGAATCTCTGCCATGTTGATCTGAGTCAAGCATGAACCCCGGGTGACCCCCAGGCCTGCTCTGATTGCTGCTCTGAGATATAACTCCCTCAGAACATGAATGAGCTTTCCATTCAGTTAATCCCTGAGGACTCTTGCGATGCAGAAATCCCCACTACCTGCCACCCTTATGCACCTCTCCAGCCAGTTCTAACATTTTCTTTGACGGTCTGTTGTTTGCAACTGCTCTCCTGGTACCAAATTCTGACTTGGAAATAATCCGGCTGCCTAGAACAGGAACCCACTCGAGCCAGCTTAAGGAAAAGGGGATCTATGTAAAGGGCACTTTCATAGCATAACTGCAGAAGTGGAAAAGTGGTCAGACAGCCACTTTCTCTAGGGTCACGGATCAACTCCTTTCTGCTTCTCCACACCTCTCTGTTCTCTGAGACCTCATCCTGGCATCTTCTAAAAGATACGTGCCTCTGTAAAGCACACAGTTCTCCTCCCCCACAGCTGGCCCCAACACCAAGTGACCCACGGCTCCATTGCCCAACACCATCTTGACTCTGGAATCTGCCTCTAGTGTGAGAATCTGTTAGGCTCCGGATGGGTCAAATGTCCACTCCTGGTCCAATCATCTAAGGCCTGCATGTGGGCGGGTGTTATAAACATGCCTGCCTAGGTCCATCAGACACTGGAGTAGCAAGGAGACACCCACACAAATAGAAGCCCTATTAGTTCTGGAGTGTTGAATGCTAATGTTCTGGAACACAAAAGGAGCCATCAAAATACATCTCTCTGTCTCTCTCCCCCGCTCCAGCCTCTGCATCTACACCCTCCCCTGCCCCCTACTGCCCAGCCCACCTCACCCCCTACACCACCATCAACCCCACTTCACCTCCCTCCTAGCGCCTTTACTCTCACTCCCCCCTCCCTCTAAAAATTGATTTCCCATTAGGATTTGTTTCTGTTCTAGTTCACATTTCTGCATTCACTAAGTTTTGTAGCCAGATTCCCCTTCCACAGCAGAAGCAAATTTCCCTCCGTGAAAAATTCACAGCTTTACTTCAAAGGTAGTCCCAATCCCCCAGTCTGTGCCGGAGGCCTTCTCTGCTGATGGGGTTCCTGGTCTTTCCTACCTCTTTGGGATCAAAAGCTAACATCAGAGGCCCCCCAGTGGGGAGCCATCTCAGGTGGAGCTGCTGCTGTGAAGGTGGCTGCTGGTGGGGCTGGTGCGGGTGTGGGTGGGTCTGGGAATCGGGATAAGGAGCACGAGTATGAGTATGTGAATGAGGCACGGAGTTGGACAGAAAAGGGTGCCAGTGAGGCTGTGGGCCCGGATTTCATGGCCCCAGGGAAATAAAACATGGCTGTTTCCACTGACCTGAGCTCGCCCTCCCTCTGCCCTCTGGAGGTGAAAATTTTTCGCTCCACTGCTCCAAAAAGCTGCAGGAAGCTTCCACCCAGCTCCTGTGCCGCCTCGATACCAGGGGCGGTGGCAGCCCCTGCCGCATCCCTCTCTTCTTCTCCTTCTGTGGCATCAGCAGCAGCAGTGGCAGCAGCAGCAGCCACTGCCTCCTCTTCCTCCTTGCCGCCTTCTGCCCCAGCCACATCGGCAGTGGCCAGGCTTGGCCACCATGTGGCTACCGCCTCCTGTTCCTCCTCACCTTCTCTTTCTGTCTCAGCCCCACCAGCAGTTGCCACACTTGGCCACCATGTGGCTTCCGCCTCCTCTTCCTCCTCACCTTCTTCTTCTGTCCCAGCCCCACCAGCAGTGGCCAGGCTTGGCCACCCTGTGGCCCGCTCCAGGGGCTGCTGCAATTCATCTTGGAGGAGCTTCCACCTCAGCCAGTCCCGCTCCATCTGCACCTCCGCCAGGGAGGCCTGGAGCAGCTGAAGCTGAAGGGCTGCCTCCTTGCGCTCCAGCTCCTGCTGCGCATTGAGTTCCTTGAGGTCTGCTGCCAGGGCCTGCATGGCCGACCTGTGCGGCTTGGCGAAGTTGTACAGCTGCTGCACCCTGTGCCCCTGTAACAGGCTCTGCCTGTGAGCGAAGCGCACACCCAGGGCCAGGCCGCCCCAGGTGCAGGCCTCCTTGGCCTCGCTGGGCACATTGCTGTCCTCCAGGATGGCCCTGAGCTTGTCCTCCACCTCCTCCCAGGACAAGGACATATTCTTAAGGTAGAACTTGGGGCCTTTCACGTGCCCGGCCATCTTCTCGTTGATGAGGTCACCACCTTGGTGTGGTGGAACCCCCCACAGGGGTCCTCAGGGTTCAAGGCCACGAGGGCTGAGGCCCTTAGTGGCTTTGCTGGCCCTCTCTGGGAACAGTGGAGGTGCAGGCCAACTGCGCACCACCTACCACGACCACAGAGAGAGGGCACCTCTCTCCTTTCGATGCCTCCGGGAAAAAAGCAAGTCTGGACTTTTTAAGAATCTGAGTTCTTAAAACAATTCCTGAGGCCAACTCTTCAGATGCAGTTTGGACTGGACTGTGGGACATAAAATGATACTTGTGAAGAGGGTGCTTCTTAGCTCAAGTAGATACATGAGACTAAATGGGCAGCTCCTGTCCGGAGGTGAGACGAGAAGGCAGACAGGATCAGGAGCTTGTTGAATGGACACGGGAAATCAGGGGTGGAAAGGAGGAGTGTGCTGTCACAGTACAGGGAGAGCAACCAGGGTCACATCACAATGTGTGCATAAGTTTTTGTATGAGAGACTAACTTGAAATGTAAACTTTCACTTAAGCTACAACAACAAAATAAATAAATAAAGTGAAAGAAACGTAAAGATTTAAAAAAAAAAAAAAAAAGAATCTGAGTTCTATTCCCCGTTTTTCTCCCGTTCTGTCAGGGTCCATCTGTTGTGGCCCAGATCAGAACGGTGGGTGGTGGTAGCCAGGCACTATCATGTTCTAGTAACAGCAGGCAGCTCTCTTTTCTCTCCACCATTTGAGTATCTCCATCTCTGAACGTTTACCTGGTTTGTTTATCAATTAACTTAACGTTTATATTTCATTGTGTCTGTCCAGTTTGGCTGTAACTGTGTATGAGAGTCAGCCTGTCTGCTTTGGATTGGAAACTGTTACAGCAAGGTTTAGCCAATTCTCTCTATGACTTATTTAGCTGGCATAGCATCACACACAGTTAGAGACATAATAAATGTGTTGAGTATGGTCTTAAAAACAACAACTTCAACTTGGTAGTAGCTACCACCCATATAGTATTTAGTATGGTCCAGTCCAGGCTCACAGGTTGCATTTAGTTGCTATGTCCCTTTAACCAGGAGGAACCTTGGTTGCACACTGGTTAAATGCTTGGCTGCTAACCAAAAGGTCAGTAGACCCACCAGTTACTCTGGGGGAGAAAGGAGAAAGATGTGACAGTCTGCTCCCATAAAGATTACAGGCTAGGAAACCCTATGGGGCAGTTCTACACTGTCCTATAGGGTCACCATGAGTTGGAATTGTTGGCACACAACAACAACAACATGGTCCAGGCATTCTAAAGCAACCTACTTATTGAAAACTCAAAACAACCATGTAAGGTAGTGTCTTGGGCTGGGTTTTCTAGAGAAGCAAAACCAGTAAAGTGTATAAATATATGTATATATAGAGAGATTTATATCGAGGAAACAGCTCATGTGACTGTAGAAGCTGGAGCGGCCCACGTCTGTGGATCAGGATAGAAGCTTCTCCTGATTCACCGAGCAGCAGGGGCTGGTGAACCCAAGATCAGCAAGTCAGAGAGCAGGGCTCTTGCTCACAGGCTGTGAAAATCAATGAATCCCAAGAGTGTCACGTAAGCTGCTAGGTCAAGTCCCAAGAACCGGAGGTCAGATGAACAGGAGGCAGCTGCGGGATCTAGAGGGGGCAAAAGCCAGAATGTCAACTTATATTCGGATGTAGGCTACACACCCAAGGAAACTCCTTTTAACTGACTGACTACGCACAGCAGATCCCATCATGGGAGTGATCACATATAAACCCTGAGAATCATGGCCTAGCCAAGTTGACACACAATCTTAACCATCGCAGGTAGATACCAATATTATTTATCAACAACATTTTACAGATAATGAAATTGAGGAACATAAAAATTGAGTAAGTTGCCCAAGGTCACACAGCTTGTAACTGATGGAGCTGAGTTTTAAATCCAGACATTCTGGCTCTGGAGTCCATGCTGCTAGCCATGATGCGATACCAAATGTGTGTAAATGTATAAAGAAAGGTCTGGAAGAACACACACCTCTGGAGAGACAAGTAGGATGGGAGTGGGCTAAAGAGAGTGTATCTTACCTAGGGTATTTTAAATTTTTGCAAGGACAAAAAATTCATGCAGTACCACGTAATTCAAAATAAAAAGAAAAAATATATGTAACATGATAGAAAAATGGACAAAAGGTTTGAACAAGCACTTCACAAAACATGCTATTCAAATGTTATTGTTAGGTGCAATTGAGTCGATTACAACTCATAGTGACCTTATGTACAATAGAACGAAACACTGCCTGGTCCTGCAACCATCCTCACAATCATTGTTATGCTTGAGCCCATTGTTGCAGCCACTCTGTCAATCCATCTGGTTGAGGGTCTTCCTCTTTTGCCCTGACCCTCTACTTTACTAAGCATGATGTCTTTCTCCAGGGACCAGTCCTTCCTGAAAACATGTCCATAGTACGTGAGATGAAGTGTCACCATCCCCCTTTCTAAGGAGGATTCTGGCTGTACTTCTTCCAAGACAGATTTGTTCATTCTTCTGGCAGTCCATGGTATGTATGTTCAAAATTCTTAGCCAACACTGTAATTCAAAGGCATCAATTCTTCTTTGGTCTTCCTTATTCATTGTCCAGCTTTCACATGCATATGCTGTGATTGAAAATACCATGGCTTGGGTCAGGCTCACTTAGTCCTCAAAGTGACATATATATCTATATCTGTGTATATCTATTGTGAGAGAAAGATGTGGCAGCCTGCTTCCATAAGGATTTACAGCCTTGGAAACCTATGGGGCAGTTCTACTCTGTCCTATAGAGTCACTATGAGTTGGAGTCGACTCAACGGCAGTGGGTTTTTTTTTTTGGTTGTCGTTGTTGATATATATCTGTACCTATACCTGTATCAATATCTATAGAGAGAGATGCTCAACCTCATTAAACATTTGAGAATGGCAAATTAAAACCACAATGAGGTGCCACTACACATCCATTAGAATGACCAAATGTAAAGACTAATAATAACAAATGTCTGGGAAAATGTTTAGCAACTGAAATTCTCGTACATGACTAGGGAGACTGTGTAAATTGTTACATTCACTTTGGGAAACTGTTTGAGAAAGGTGAGCACACATATACCCTATGACCAGCCATTTTGTTCTTTGGTATATACTTAGAAGAAATGCATATACGTGTTTACCAAAAGACGTGCTCTGGACTGTTCATAGCAGCGCTATTCATAATACCCCCAAAGTGGAAACTACCCAGATGTTCACTGGTATGGATTGAATTGTGTCCCCTAAATGTATATTGAAGTCCTAACCTCTGGTGCCTATTGTGAAATGGCAGTAGTAATAATAATAGTATCACTACCTGTCTAACTTCAGGGGGGATAACGCGAATCAAGATCAGCCCAACAATGATCCCTATGAGGTGGAGGTCAGACATATCTTCACTCTCCAACCTTTTTACCAATTCTGACACCAGCCATCCCTCCCATGACACTCCCAACTTCTCTGCTGTGTTTGATAATTTGTTGCAGTGGCCGCACAGAACTCACAGAACATACTTACAGTTAAAGGGTTTATCAAGGAAATAACCTCTCAGTCCCATGAAGACAGGCCTCCTCTCAGTACTCTCAGGACAGGCTCTTCTTCGCCTGTTGTCTGTTGCCATCAGCTCTGCCACTGGGCCCTTTCTGGAACTTTCGCCATCTTCAGCATTGCAGTCCTTGACCTGCGTTATAGCTCTCCGAGGAGGTTCCTTGCCTCCTCTCTCTCTGCTTCTTCTTTCTGCTTCTTCCTGCTGCTTTTCTTCCTGTTTCTTTTTGTCTCTCAAAAACCTCTGTGGAGTTGGCTGCTTAAATACACAAACTCCTTGTCAATTTCAAGGCATAGCACTACCACCAGGGCCATGAACTGACCAATCCCTTCTTGGTAGGCCAAAGACACTTCATTTGCATAGTATGCTACAACTCACCTCATTTGCATAGCCTATTTATGAATCCCTGCAAGGTGCATACCAATCCCAGGGCGCGCTGCAGTCCAAGACCAGACAAAAAGCATCAAAACCAAGCTGTTTTCAGCTTACCTAGGAAATGTCAGTCAACCTGGACAGAAGTAACAAACCCTTTAGGGTAGAAAACCAGGAAAAGGTAACTCCTCAGGGTTGAGGGGAAAAATCTCTCAGATTGTTTTTCCAAAGAACCAAGGCAAAAGGTCACATAAAGGAACCAATTTCACCACAACCACGTCTTTGAAGATGTTATCAGTTAAATGAAGGGGAAGTCATACTGGAGCAGGGTGGGTCCTAATCCTATTTGAGTGGTGTCCTATAAAAGGAGAAGAGACAGAGACAGATGAGGGCTGGTGGAAGGGGGAGAGAAAACCAAGTAAGGATGCATGTATAATCCAGGAAATTCTTGGTGTTACTAGTAGCCAGGAGAGAGAAGAAAGGATCTTCCCCTAGAGACTTCCTAGAGAATGCGGCTCTGCCAACACTCTGAATTTGGACTACTAGCCTACCGAACTACTAGACAATACATTTCTGTTCTTATATGCCCCCCACTTGTTGGTAGTTTGTTATAAAAGTCCTAGAAAACTAATACACTAACCAAAGTTTGATAAGATGGATAAGTACATCTTGGCTCATTAACACAGTGGCATACTACATTCAGTGAGAATGAACAATCTACCCTACACACAATAAAGTGGTTGAATCTCACAGTGTTGGTCGAAAGAAGCCAGGTGCAAGAAAGTGCTGACTGTATGATTCCATTTATATAAAGCCCAAAACGGGCAAAGCTAATCTTTGATCCCAGAAGTCAGGAAAGAGGCTCCCCTTGTGTGAAGAGGGGAGTAACTGGAAGGGGGTACAAGGGACTTTGGGGAGGATTGATAATGTTTTGTTTCTTGATCTGGGTGCTGGTTACAAGGGTGTTTCTCTTTGTGAATATACATCAAGCTGCACCCTTGTGATCTGTGCACTTCTCTGTATGTATGCTATATTTCAATTTTAAACGTTTATTAAAAAATAGAGAGTTTCATTGCTCATCCTTCCATTAGATATTTTATTGCGTGCCTACTACGTGCCAAGCACGAGGTCAGGCGCTGGGATGATGTCCTGAATCCGAGCATCCCCGCCTCCCGTTCCTTCCTCTTGATTGGCTGCCCTTCCAGCCAATGGTGGAAGAGTTCGCCGCTCTCTGACAGCTGCACTTCCTCAGCTGGGCTTGTAGGCGGCGCTGTGGGCTTACTGACTCCTGCAAGCGCAGACCTGGTCCCCACCCTCTTTCTGATTCTGACTCTCAGGAAGGGAGAGAGCAAATACCCCAGGGCCCCCACCCGCTTTCCAAAATTCTTTTGTGGATTTCGCAGCCTGTGTGTCTATTCGATGCGGGTCCCGGTCCTCAGGCCTTGCCTAGTACCTACCCGGCTCTCCCATTGGCCTGACCTCCAATTCCGGTCATTGGAGCCCCTAAGGCGATGCTTGGGAAATCTTGATAGCGGCCCAGGCCCGCAGTCGGCACTTCTCTCTGTGTGCTAATTGTTTACTTAGTTGTTTATTATCCTGGACTGGAGGCTAGCCGGGTGTGCGGGGGCGGCTGCCCCCAGGGAAGTCGGCTTCCTGTGGTTGCCTTGCTCAGCTCACACCGGCCCTCTTGTGCACTGGAAAGATATGCAGAGCTGGAAGGGCCTTCCTTGATGGTTCGGTTTGTCCAACAAAATGCTGCCTGAGCGCCTGTCTTGTGCCTGGACCTGTGCTGGACGCGACCCAGACAGCCCCAGCTCTGCCCTCACGGGGCTCACAGTCCAGCGGGAGAGAGACCTGTCACCACAAAGGGTTGACCCAGGGTGATCGGGACTCGAATAGGGAGTCAAGGGGACTGGGGGAATTTACAGGGGGCACCTGACACAACCTAGTGGGTCGAGGAGGGCCTTCTGAAAGAGGGGACATCTGAGCTAGCATCTGAAAGAAGGGTAGGAGTCAGTCAGTGGACAAGGACTGTGTCTTTTTGACCACCACGCCCTCAATGCCTACCATCCCCTTTGTTTAGTATTGGATTCATTCATTTATTCATTAATTAACAAGTATTTATTATGAAAGGTCCCTAGGTAGTGCAAAGGGTTTGTACTGGACTGGTAACCCAAAGGTTGTAGGTTGGAGCCCACCCAGCAGTACCTCGGAAGAAAATCCATCAAGATTACACCCAAGAAAACCCAATGGAGCAGTTCTACTCTGTAACATTTATTATGGGCCATTTGCAAGACTATGGAACTAGCTAGACAGAGTTCCTGCCTTCAAAGGACTCACACATGAAATCATTTTGTTACCTAAAATTTATGTTCAAGTCCTAACCCCCGGTACCTGTGAATGGGACCTTGTTTGGAAATAGGGTCTTTGAAGATGTTATCAGTTACCATGAAGTCATACCGGAGCAGGATGGGTCCTAATCCAATTTGAGTGTATCCTGTAAATGAGAAGAGACTTTGGACTTTATATAGATGGAATCATACAGTTAGCACTCTTTTGTGCCTGGCTTCTTTTGACCAACGGTGTTTGTGAGATCCATCCACGTTATTGTGTGCAGGGGTAGATCATCTATTCTCACCGAATATAGTATTTCCACTGTGTGAATAAACCATGATGTATTTGTTTGATTGCATCAAACCCTGATGGAGTGCTATGAAGAAGTAATAGAGTGTGTAGTCTGATTCCAACCTCCTGGGTTTGAGTCCCAGATCTGCCACTTAGTAGCTGTGTAACTTCTGTGTGCCTTGTTCGGTATAATAACAACTATGAGCTACCTCAGAGCTCTGGTGGGGCAGTGGTTAAGTGCTGGGCTGCTAACTAAAAGGTTGCAGTTCGAACCCACCAGCCGCTCCAGAGGGGAGAGATGTGGCAGTCTGCTTCTGTAAAGATTTAGAGCCTTGAAAACCCTAGGGGTCAGTTTTACTCTGACCTATAGGGTTGCTATGAGTCGGAAAAACTCAATAGCAATGAGTGTGGTTTTTCATGTCCCACCTGATAAGGGTGTGAGGATTAAATGAGTTATGTCTAAAGTGGTTTAGAACGTTGCCTGACAAAGAGTAAGTGCCAAACCAAGCCACTCAGGAAGTGACTTCAAGACCTAAAAGATAAGATGGGTTTAAAGGGCTATGAAAGGGACAATGAGAAATGCAGGCAGGCCCTGGGACCAGAGTGAGCCCATTCTTCTCTCTTCTGCCTGGTAAACCCATTGCCATAGAGTTGATTCCGACTCACAGAGGCCCCATAGGACAGAGTAGAATTGCTGTAAAAAGTTTCCAAGCCTGTAAATCTTTATGGAAGCTGACTGCCACATCTTTTTCATCACAACTAGGAGTTGGAATCAACTTCATGGCTGATGGAGTGGGTACAGAATGATCATTCCAGGAAGAGGGTAAACTGAGGCAGGAAGCAAATGCAATCAGTCTTTAAGGCCTTCATTAATTCATTCACTCAACAAATATTTAATACTTTCTAAGTTTAAAAGAAAAAAAAAGGAGCCCTGGTGGCACAGTGGTTAAGCACTGGGCTGCTAACCAAAAGGTGGGCAGTTGCAATTTACCAGCTACTCCTAGGAAACTCTACGGGGCAGTTCTGCTCTGTCCTGTAGGGTCGCTGTGAGTTGGAATGGACTTGACAGCAATGGGTTTGGTTTCCGTTTTTTTTTTTTTTGGAAGTTAAAATAACAAAAACAAGAACAGTCCCTGGTGGCCCAAATGGTTCAAGGCTGGACTACTCGATGAAAGGTTGGGGGTTTGAATCTACCCAGAGGCTCCTCAGAAGACAGGCCTGATGACCTGTTTCTAAAAGGTCACAGTCTTGAAAACCCTATGGAGCAGTTCTACACAGCACACATGGGGTTGCCATGGTCTTAATTGACTCCATAGCAACTAACAACAAGAAGTTAAAAAAAGGAGTCCCTAGAATTGGCATAACACAGCTTATAAAGACATATTCTACATTCTACCTTGGTGAGTAGCTTCTGGGGTCTTAAAAGCCTGTGAGCAGCCATCTAAGATCCACTGGTCTCATCCCTTCGGGAGCAAGGGAGAATGAAAAGAACAGGATACAAGGAAAAGATTAGTCCAAAGGACTAATTGTCCACAGCTACCAAGGCCTCCACCGGACTGAGTCCAGCACAGCTAGATGGTGCCCGGCTACCACCACTGACTGCTCTGACCAGGATCACAACAGAGGGTTCTGGACAGAGCTGGAGAAGGATGTAGAACATAATTCTATCTCACACACAAAAAAAAAGACCAGATTTACTGGCCTAAAGGAGACTGGAGAAACCCCGAGAGTATGGCCCCCCTGACACCATTTTTGCTCAGTGGTGAAGTTATCTCCGAGGTTCACCGTTCAGCCTGGGTGTGGACAGCCCCGTAAAACCAAACGGGACTAACAAGGTACAGTAGTCCAGTGACAAGGGCCAGAAGGCAGAAGGGAACAAGGAAGCTGGTGATAGGGAACCCAAGGTTGAGCAAGGATATTGTTGATGTGTTATGAGATTGTTAACCATTGTCATAGGGCAACATTTGTAATAACTGTTAAATGAGAAACTATTTTGTTCTGTAAGCCTTCATCTTAAGTGAGAATAACAGCACAATTGGAAGAGCGTAGTCAATGTCACTGAACTGTGCATGTCGAAATTTTTGAATTGGTGTATCTTTGGCTATGTGTATTTTCACCAAAAAAAAAAAAGGTTGAGAAGTTAGAGGTTTGACATGTTGTGGGGTTGTTAACAAATGTCATAAACAATATGTGTACTACTGTTCCATGAGAAACTATTTGTTCTGTAAGCCTTCACCTGAAGTACAATTAAAAAAAAGAAAAAAAAAGGAGTCCCTAGGTAACGTAAACTGTTAATGTGCTAGGCTGCTAACTGAAAGGTTGGAGTCCACCCAGAGGCGCCTTGGAAGACAGGCCTGGCAATGTAATTCTAAAAAAATCAGCCACTAAAGATGCTGTGGAGCACACTTCTGAAGCACGTGCGTTCGCCATGACTCATAATTGCTTCGATGGCAACTGGCTTGGTTTTTCGGTTTAAGTTAAAGAAGAAAAAATAAAAAAGTCAATGCAGAGGACTCTTGCTAGAAAATCAGTAATCAGAAAACCTTTAATAAGTTTGAAAACTTGAGCCCTTGTAATTTTATTTACAGTACTTACCAACGCTTATATAGCATTTACTATGTGCAAGGCACGATTCGCAGCGCTTTACAAATATAACTCAATTATCACAGCAACGCTAATGAAGGAGATACGATTATTAATCCTATTGTATAGACTACGAGACTGGGGAAAGAAATGCAAAATGCAATAGGAACATATCCGTTCCTTCACGCAGTGCACAAATATTGACAGGGCATCGAGATCGTTCATCTTCCACGATCAGTGCTTCCGGAGAGGTCCCAGAGGAACCCCCTCAATTCAGAGGAACTCGAGGGTTTCAGAGATGCCCCCTCCCACCATTTCTACTTCCTCTCTAGGCTCCCGAACTGATATTCGCACTCATGTGCGCAATGCTGATTGGCGGCGAGGGCTGTCCCGCAAGACCAGGCCCTGCATCCTCTCCTCGGGACCAAGCGATCACAGAATCAAGAGCTAGTTCCATTAGTACGGGGGTTGCGACCAGATCTTCTTCACTGCAAGGGTAAGGAGCACGCGCTCGCCAGCCCCGCCCCTTCTTCCGGGAGAACGAATTACGAGGCTTGGATTGGGTCGAGGCGAGCCACGCCTCCTCAGGGTCCCTAATCAACTCCCTCGCTGGGCGCGCTCCCTCAATCCTAGCTCCTCCCACCATCACACGTTACGTCGCTCCCTCTTTCCTCCGTTATCCCGGGGGCTGCGGCTCGCGCGGCAAACCCACCTCCCCTTGCCTCCCATTGGCTGGTCAGGTCCCGCGCGAGCGGAATCTCTCCCTCTCACTCCCGCCCCAAGGCCAGGCCATGCCTCTTCCCTCCTGCTTTCTCCAAGAGCCAGCCCGAGATGGCGGAACGGCTGCTTCAGGCGCGCGCGTGGGTGCGCGCGCCTCCTGCGGGCCACGCCCTCCGCCTTGCGCCAGCCGCCGGCAGCCCCTCCCACGCACGCGCACTTGCCCAGCCCACTCCCTCTGCCCGGTCGTGGGTCTGCTCGCGCTCTCAGTCTCGCGCCGGAGCCACCGCAGTAGCAGCTCCTCGGGGCGCACGCGCACTGCACCTTCCGCGCCCGTTTCCAACCCCAGGCCGCGGCGGTGGCAGCGAGCCGCTTGGGCGCGCACGCGCTCTCGCTTCTGCCCGCTGTCCTGAGCCGGCTATCCCCTCGCGGCGCGCACCCAGGGGCCGTTATCCCCCTGCAGCGGTCCCTGCGACGCGCACGCGCAGCAGTGGGGGCGCGCGTGCGGGAGCGGCGGCCGCAGAAAGGAGGTGCCGCCGTCGCCGCCATTGCGAGGGAGGGAGGGAGCGAGCGAGAGAGCGAGACCGGTCCGCCCTCCCCTGTTCCCGCCCCTCCCCCCTTCCCCCCCGCCCCCCGCCCCGAGGGAGAGCCGCGGCGCGGCGGGAGGAGGAGGCGGAGGAAGGAGCCCGCGAGGGAGGGTCCACCCGGCCCCCCGCCGACGGAGCCGCCGCCGCCTCAGCCGCCTCTAGACTAGGAGCAGCAGCAGAACATGGCGCCGGGGCCGCCGTCGCCGCGGCTGAGATCCCGAAGGCCGGGGCCGCGCTGAAGGCGCCCAGCTGGTGAGTGCGCGAGCTAGCAAGGCCGGGCGCCGCCCCGCTGCGGGGTCCAGGGGGAGGCGGAGACGGCGGGGCCCGGAGCCCGCGAACAATGGAGGAGCCGGAGGGGGAGGGGAGGGAGCGGCCCCCCCAGCCCCCCGGGCCCCGCCGTCTGCGCCTCGGCCCGGCCGGCAGGTCCCGCCTCCCTTCTGACCTGCCCGCCCTAGCCCTACTGTCCCCTCTGTTCCCCCTTCCCCCCACCCGTTGGGATCTCGGTGTCTGCCTCGATCCCCGCACTTCGGCCGCTTTGCTTTCCATTCTGCGTCCCCCTTCCCTCTTCCGCCCCTGAGTAATGCTCTTCGCCCCTCCTGGACTCTGCAGTGCTGATGAGACCCGCCTCCTCACCGACCCTCCGCACCCCTTAATTCTGGTTCCCTGCATTTGAGATCCGTGACCCTCTGCCTCCTCTCTGAAATCTGTCTTACCACCCTTCGGATCTGTCCCTAGTCCCGTCCTCTGATCATCTCCTCGATCTTACTCCCCCTTGCTCCGAATCGGTTGCACCCCCAGGAGCTGTCCCTCTAAGACCTGCGGTTCCACCACCTTGGAGATCCATTGAGAGACTTAGTTCAGCCCTCTGCCCATCTTGGCACTGCTCACCCCACTTTTTCCCCTTGGGCTTCATTCCACCTCCGTCTTGGGCTCTGCCGCCCCGCCGTTCTGTCGCTGTTCCCTCCCAGAACCTGCTGCACCTCCGGGGATGCCCTCTGCTCTCCGACCCTTCCTGCCCCCTCTGGGACTTGGGTGCACCACGTTTGCCTCCTCTCCTTCTCAGATGTTGCTCCCTTTTGCCTTTCAGACCCTTTCCTTTCTTCCAGATCTTTCTGCCTCCCAGCTGTGCCCTTTGCCGAGTCTCAGGCCTTGTTGTGTGCCTAACCGGCTGGCTTTCCCACTCTGCCTTCTCATGAAGCAGCCTGCTCCCCTTCTGTGACCCTGTATTTGTCTCATTTGTGCCATTAACTTTTCTGACCCCTCTCCTCTCCCTCACACAGCCTCCACTCCGCCCCATTTCAGCCCTGATGTCCTGACACCTGTCCCCAATGTCCTCTTTGACGTTTCCTTGCCTCCCTACTTCTTTCTGGCAGTCGTTTTGAGCTGTCCCATTCATTTGCTCCTCCATTCTTTCGCCTGTCTCCCCTTCAGTTCTTTGCCTGGGACCTGCCACCTGCTCCTTCTTTGCTCTGGGTCCTTCCTCTCATGATTTTCGTGGTCCTTGGATTTGCCCTTTACCTCCTTATACCTTTGTTAACTTCTCCCTTATCCATGATCCCATTCCCTTCCCATTCTGCGTCTCACAGACCTGCCCTCAAATCCTTTTTGCCCCTGCTCTTTTTCCTTCTTTGCTTGATTCTGCCCCCACCCTCTTTGGAGCTGTCCATTTGCCCGTTTAATTTTAGACCCGTTTTAACTTTCCTGTTGGCGTTCCCTCTTGGAGTGGTTCTCTTTAATACGAGTCTTCCTTTAACTGCCTCCACCTCTTTTCCCTCTCAAGTCTACGTTTCCCAGCTGACATCCCCCCACCATTTTGAACCAGCTCTCACCCTTCGTGCTGTCCTTTCTTGTGGCTGTCCTCCCCCTTTTGCCTTGCTCCTTACCTCTCCTTTTTGAGTTCTCCTTCCCCCAGTTCTGTCTAGTGCTAGAGATGTCTTCTGAACCATTTCTGCCATCCCAACTGTCCTTCCTTCTCCCACCCCAGAAAGCTTCTTCCTAGAGCTGCTTCAGTTCTTTGATAGGTTCTTAATTCACACTCCTTTTGGATACCCCTCACCCAGTTCCGTTCCTCCTTGACTGGTTTCCTCCCCTGCCTTTTCTTTCCTTTTGGGTGCCTGGTCCCTTGTCTTCCTGTAGTTCCTAACAGACTTGCTTCTCCCAGCTCCCCACTCTTGACCCGCCCATTCCCCATTGATCGAGTCCCCCTTTTAGGCAAGTCTTCCTCCCTCTCTTCTCCTTGCCTCATCTTTAGTGGAGAAAGGGCTGGGCTAGGCTCTCATTTTAGTGTAGATCCTCTCCCGCGTCCTGACCCCGAGAGCTTTATCACAAGGTAGCTTGTGTAGTCTGGGCAAATCAGTGGGCGATGGTGGATTGGTTACTGCTTTCTGGAGTCTTGGAGCGTCTCCCCCATTTCCTCTACTTCTGCCAAGGTTGGTGGTGGGTGCTGGCTGTCTCCCCACGGCCCTGTCTTCTATTCCATGCTCCATTTGTTGCCCACCCCATTGGTTCAGCCCTCTTGGCTTTGCAGCTTTGTGTCCTCTGGAAAAGGGGCAAGTGCCGCTGCTGCCAAGTCTGTCTTCTCTGTCTCCCTTTTCCTCTTAACCTTCTCTGAGCTTAAGAGGCAGTGAGTGGTACCCTCTCCCCTTCCACCTCCAGACCAGCACCCTTGGAGAGAACTTGGTTTTTTTTTCAACAGTTTATAATTTTGTTTTACCAGTGGTTGGGGAAATGCCATTTCTCAACTTCTGCCCAATCCCATAGGGGGTGCAGGGCCACACTTCGTGTGTTTGTTGTGCTGGGGCTACGGAAGCTGCCCCATCCAGTGGACTCTAGTTTGCAATGTGAGCTTTGGGGAGGGGTTGGAGGTGGGGTAGGCTTATTTCTTTTTCACCTTGGCCCCAGGAAGGCTTCAGCTTCCTGATCTTCAAAATGGTGAGGGCCTGGGTTTGGGAAGCACTTTGCGGTTGTTTGCTGAAAGAGTGCCAAGTGTCACTCAGATTTCTGCCCTCTGGTATTGCAGGCACTCCTAGCCGTGGGAGCTGAGGGCCTGGGGCAATCTAGGTGGGGTTCTGGGGGCTCAGTTGCTGTGACGGGGTGCATGGGTGGGGCCTGGCATGCCCCTAAGCCTTTTGAACGACCTGATCGGGTAGGGCTAGAAAGGGGTGCCAGAAACTGGCTGATATGATTGGATTTTTAGTCTTATTCCCTGGAAAATGTACCTTACTTCTCTTTCCTGAGCTGTTCTTTTCAGTGATCTTAGAGAAAATTCATTCAGAGGCAGAGGTGTTTTTTTTTTTTTTTTTTTTTTAATTGTACTTTAGGTGAAGGTTTACAGAACAAATAGTTTCTCATTAAACAGTCAGTACACATATTGTTTTATGACATTGGTTAACAATCTCATGACATGTCTGTCAACCGTCTCCCTTCTCAACCTTGGAGGACCTTTGTTTTTAGTCAAAGATACACCATTTCAAAAATTTCTACGTGTACAATTCAGTGACATCGATTACGTTCTTCCAGTTGTGCTGCTATTCTCACTTTAGATGAAGGTTTAGAAGAAAATCGTTTCTCATTAACAGTACACATATTGCCCTATGACAATGGTTAAGAATCCCGCTACATGTCAACACTGTCCTTACTCAAATTTGGGTTCCCTGTCATCAGCTTTCCTGTCCCCTTCTGCCTCCTAGTCCTTGTCCCTGGACTGCTGTGCCTCATCAGTCTTGTTTTGTTTTATGCGGCTGTCCAATCACCAGCTGAACAGTGAACCTCCAGAGTGACTTCATCACTGAGCTAAAAGGGTGTCTGGGGGCCATACTCTCGGGGTTTCTTCAGTCTGTGTCAGGCCAGTAAATCTGGTCTTTTTGTGTGTGTGTTAGAATTTTGTTCTACATCCTTCTCCACGTCTGTCCAGAACCCTCTGTTGTGATCCTGGTCAGAGCAGTCAGTAGTGGTAGCCCGGCACCGTCTAGCTGTACTGGACTCAGTCTGGTGGAGGAGGGCAGAGGTAGTTTTTACAGAAAAGCCATCTAACCACTTTTCTTCCTTAACTTGGGGGCGGGGACCTTTTGCATGTTCTAGGTTTATTTGTTTTATCTCTTTAAGTCTAAAGCCTTCTCCTTTCCCCAGCCTCCCCCCACCCCCACCCCCACACAGTTGGCCAAGGGCGATTGCATATTAAAGCAGCATCCAGCTGTGAAGGCACATTCCCTGGGAGGACTTTATTTCTTAACTGAGCTATGATCAAACTTTGTTTATTTCAGCATTTATTTAGAAATAGTTCTGTGTAAACGCATTTGAAATAAAAAAATGTTCCTTGTCAGCTGCAGAATTGGATCATTGACTTCTCAAATGTTAGTGCATTTGTAGTGTAGATGAGACAGTGACAGGAGTTGGATAGTAGCCCTTTTAGCTCCAAAAAGGACTCTGACAAGCAGAGTCTGGTCACTTTTAATTATCCCTGGTATGTGTCTTCACCATTATTGACTTAAAGAATTTTGGCTCATTTCCGTTGGTGAATCTTTGGCCTCGTGAATCATGATTAATCCTCTGAATTTTTTCGAGCGTTTGTGTTCCTCGTGTTGGTATAAATAGTTGTTTTGTTTTTTATTCTTAATGTGGAAGTGACACCTAATTAAGAATAAAAACAACTGTGTACGTAGTACGGCTTACATTTGCGCTCTAGAGTCTTAACATTATGGGCCGCATGAAAAGTTTCTGCCAGCCCAAAGCCTAAGTTGACATAATAGGAAGAGAAGAGTGAAGAACAAAGACCTGCTTTTTCTTCCTCAACTGATAACTGATGTTCCAAAGACTGTCAGATTTCTCTGATGGAAGCAGAGGTTACAGCCCCAGCATTGACATTTGCTCTCATGATCGAATTGGGTGCTACAGGGATCTGAAGTGGTAGCCTTAGCCTTCTGGAAGAGTTAATGTGCCAGTTGGGGGTGGCGTGTGGAGCAGAGATGGCAGTAGACCACAGTTTTCCACCTAGTAACATGTTTCCGAGGGCCCTTGCCCTGCCAAGGGATCCCTGGTGGCGCAGTGGTTAAGCACTCAGCTGCTAACCGAAAGATCAGTGGTTCAAACCCCCCAGCGGTTGTGTGGGAGAAAGATGTGGCAGTTTGCCCACATAAAGATTATAGTGTTGGAAACCCTAGGGGGCAGTTCTACTCTGTCCTGTAGGATCACTGTGAGTCAGAATTGACTTGATGACGAGTTGTTGTTTTTTTTCTTTTTGCTTTGCCTAGAAA